AAGGTAAGAATGTGATTTAAAATCATAATGAATTTAATTTATCCCAAGTGACTATCACATATAATTAAAATTATCCCAAGTGACCACCACAAAATAAGGTAATAATGTCATAAATAAACATTTTTTAAGAAGTTATCAAATATAATTAAATTCAATAATTCCATATTTAAAATTTTCCCAAAAAATAACACATCGAAAGATATAAAGCATAATTAAATTCATTATTTTCAATTTTTTTGCATTCACAAATAATGTATTGATAACACAAACTTGTCTTCTCACTCACACACACACACTCTCTCTCTCTCTAAATTCACTCTCTCACTTCTTCAACACTCTTGCTCCCAAACATCTATAGTGAGAGCTGGGAGCTAATGACTGCCACTAATTCTCGATTACCACCAGTGTTATTGTAGCCCAATTATCATCATACATTGTTGTTGCCTGATTATTTTATCAAAGTTGTTATTACTCCATTAATACTTTTTAGTTATTTTTGTTTAGTTGCTATTTTCAAATTGACAATGTCAACTCTAATTGAGTCAATCATTTGATAGCCCTTATTATAATAAAAAAAAGGCAAGCTAGTATTTTCACTCTTATAAAATTTTCTTCTCCCATTGAGGAGAATAGTATAACTCTAACTTCCATTATATATATGAAAACCTTGATTGTAATAGACATCTCACTTGTCCTTTTGCTAGCTTTTGTGTAAGTGAATAATATATTATTTTTTTAATCTTTGTAAGTGTTGAGTTTTCATCCTAAGCTAAGATTCATTTTTTCTCTATCGTTGAAATTTTTTTTGCATGCCACAAATTTAAACTCTAATATAAAATTGCTAATACATTATTTGTATTTTTTTATATTATCAATCATGAGATCACACTTTTATTATTCTCGGGTGGTGGTTTATTTTTATATTATCAATCATGAGATCACACTTTTATTCTCGGGTGGTGGTCTTTTATAGGTCTTGGAATATAAAAGCCTTGGACTTCTCTCTATTTCATGTTTTTCCTTTAGGTTCATGTCAAAGCTAACTCTTAAAGTTATTGAGAGCAACACACTTCTCCAATTAGCTTTAAGAAAGGTATACTTCAATATGAAAACATCATTAGACAGCTGGTCTTATCTCTTAGAAGAATTTTTGTGACATCATTGTTATTGCTATTATGAGGCATCATCTTTCTTTATCTCTATTGAAAAATTTTGACATCTCCATTTTCTGGAATCTCTGGGTCAGCAATAGAAGTTTTTGCGAGATTCTTCATTCTTGGAGATAAATTTCTTGATATTTTCTCTTCTCCCCCTCACGTTGAGCTAAATGTCATGATTCCCTTATCTCAGCTAACTAGTAATGACTAACATTCTAAATATTCAAACTCATAAACATATGAAGGAATGAAGGAATTTTTTTTTTGTTTTTTGGAGAAGACATGATAAGCCAACTTTAAATATGTTTGTTACACACCGTAACTGTTCTTACCTGCAAGGTGGCTAGTCCATATATATATGGTACAAAAAGGTTTGCTTTGTGATTTTTATTTATTCATAGCTAGTTGTTCTCGATGCTTCTGAGACCATTGACAATCATTGGTTCAAAAACATCCTTTTTGAAGATAATTGTGTTTTGTGATAGCAATCATGAAACCATTAACCAAGTTTTATTATGATGTTCATTCTACAATGACATTTTGAAATGATGGCTAACTGTGACTTATATCGTTTATTCTCAACTCATCTTTTCGTAGATTTTAGATCATATTTGGAGGGTGGCTGACACATCTAATGATGTGAAAAAAATTTACCTACTATCTATCCATTGCATGAGTTATCACCTTTGGAGATAGAGAGAAATAACAAAAAAGTAACAAAAATTATGTCAAAAGCATCAGAACTATCTCTACGATTTTTGTATAAAATCAAATATATGATGTGTGACAAACTCTCTAGACAAAAAAGGAATCATGACTAGCACAAACAAGTACTTCGAATAAAGCTATTTGTTATCGAGGTTCAAATGATTACTAATATTCTTCACTTTTTTCTTTTCATATCATTGTATTCAAAGATTGTTGCTTAAGATTTTTGCATTCAACAACAACCGGTTGAAAATCTTGCAAAGGTTTTGTTCTGACCACCTTGTTCGCTAGACCTCATGTTTGATCTTTTTATTGTAGTTCTTCCATTTTTTTAGACTGGGAAATGATTTATAGTGAGAAAGTTAAAAATTGAAATAGCATAAGCTTTTTAATGCAAAAAAAAATGATTGAAACCATTTGTTAAAATAAATATTCATAGTAAAAATAATCAATTTTAATGCATTTTTTAATAGATATAATATCAGTCAAAATAACAGTCAATTTAAAGCTAAAAATAAATAAGTTTATATAAAAAATTGGATAATTTATATATAGATATCTTTAGATTATTTTAGATTTGAATTCCATCCCTCAACATTAATGATACCAAGGATCCCCTGCGGGAGACCAAACAGCGGGCCAGCGGCAAGTGCACGAGGATTGCCCAACATATTTTTACTGAGTTCCGAAACTACCCCTGTCTTTTTGCTATAAATTGCTCAGCCACCCTCGCCGCCCCAATCCACCCCACTCACTTCACCGCCGCAATGGCCGCCGCTTTCTGCGAGTGGCTAGTGTAAACCTAAGCTTCACTCCCGCGCCCTAGCTCTCCCGAGCTCACATATATCTTCTTCTTCTTCTCATCTCATTCTTTGTTTCCTCTCACTCTCCTCCTTTCTTCTTCTTCTGCTCTTCTTCCTGCAATCGAAGAGATGAGTAGCACGGCTGCGGCGGGATCGGCGGGAAAGGGGTGGATGCAGCTTGTCGACGGCGGTTGCGGCGGAAATGGGATGGCGGCAACCGTTCACTGCGGCGCAATGGCGGGAACTGGAGCACCAGGCGCTGATCTTTAAGTATCTGGTAGCTGGAGTGCCAGTGCCTCCGGATCTTCTGATCCCCATCCAACGAAGTTTGGAGGCCTTGCCGTCTCGGTTCTACCATCACTATACCGCGAGTAAACTTTCGCCTCTCTTTCTCGCTCTAACATCCAAATCTGTTGAGCATTTTATCCTTTTGCTTCGATGCTGTCTAGGGTTACTTGCTTTTGGGTGGAAGTAGTGCTAAGGTTTTAATCTGCTGCTATTTTTCCTTTGAGCTTTTTTATTACGTTTTATTTAATTTACATTTTGTGGTTACGATTTCTCCAAGCGGCTGCGGCCATCTCTAGCAGTGCTATTAAGATAACAGGATGCTCAGATTAGAGTTCTATTCAGACGGCAATGTAAATTTACACTTTGATATAGTCTAGGGTTTCTTTTTGGGTTGATTTAAACTGCAATGTCAGCTTGGTTATGTTTAGGTTAGAAACTGTCAGTGGTAGTTTTATCCCTTTCTAATATAGGTTAGTGGATGTTTTACTCTTTTCTAAGTAATCTTTTTGTAGTTTATTGTTGTGTTTGAGCTCACATCTTTTTATTTATTGACCAATAAAAAAAACCGATAGATTCAAGTCCGGTGGGCTATTTTTCGTATTACGGCAAGAAGCTCGATCCGGAGCCGGGGCGGTGCAGGCGGACCGACGGAAAGAAGTGGCGGTGCTCTAAGGATGCGCACCCCGACTCCAAGTATTGCGAGCGGCACATGCACCGCAGTCGCAACCGTTCAAGAAAGCATGTGGAATCCAAAAGCGGCGTCTCCCCGCAGCAGTCTCAGTCACATTTGTCATCTTCTTCGACTTCAGCTTCTCACGTGGCTTTAGGGAGCAGCGGAAACTTCGAAAACATTGCAATGCAATCTGCCATGGCTGCTGCAGGCGCTTCTAATTCTCAACATTATGGAATGAATGGCAAAGACTACAGGTTAATTTTCACCATTTGTAATTTTTTTATTTGGAAGATTTACACATGTCACTCTATTCTTATGTATTTACATGTCTAACATTTAAACTTTAATTTTTATTTATAGGTTACCTTTCCTGTGCATGAAAAGCTGTATTTCACTTTTTAAATGTTAAAATAGTGGTGTTTTTGATGTGATATAAATGATCTGGGTGGTATCATTGTAAAATGAAAAGTTTAGGTGTTAGATATGTAAATACATAGGAATTGGATGGTATGAATGGTATGTATATAAATGCCCCTTTTGTAATCAACATCTTGATATTAGAATTACTTACTGTAATAAAGAAGGGAGGCAAAATGTTTGGCTTTATACTTTGGTTTCTTTCACTTTGGATTCCTCTCATGAGAAGATTTTGGTGGAAGCTTATTTCTGAAATAAAGATGATTAATGATTCAGGAAATGACTGACAAAGTTCGGCTGTATTTCCTGTCTAAAATGAAAGAAAATCATATATGGGAAGTCATATAAGAATGTAAAACGAACAAATGGATTCATAGTAATAGAGTAATGCTATTCCCAAAATACATTCACACTTCCAAATAGTTGTTTTTTTGGGAGAGGAGTGGTGGTGGGGTGAATTTACATGCATACCACAATTCTTATGTATTTTCATATCTAACACTAAAGTTTGATATTTGCATTTATAACACCTTGGTGCCATAAACCTATGCATGAAAATGTGTATTTCATTTTTAAAAGGATAGTGGAGATAGTGTTTTTGTTGTGATGTTAAAGTTTTGAGTAGTATGCATGAAAGATTAATCTTCAGGTGTTGGATATATAAATACATGATAATTGTGTGGTTTCTATGTAAATGTCCTCTTTTTTCCGTGTTCAAAGTTTATACGGCCCAATTAAAAAGATTTGGTCATATATCTACATCAACTTTGGACACAGTTATTGAAAAAATCTTAAACTTAAGTATGGATTTATTTGGGAGTGAAGCATTGTTGATAGTTATATATTGATATGTGTGTATATAGACACACTATTCGTTTGCCTAGGCATGCGCTTGAGCTAAGAGGGACGTTAAAAATGAAATAATTATATAAATTATAACTCAGCTTGAACAAGGCATATATTTCTGAAGTGATATACACATTAAATTAATTGGGGAATTTAATAGTTATTAAATTCCATTGCATTCGAAGTTCAACAGATTGGTTAATGGATTATCTTAAACCGGTATATTAATCTACTCAAGGTTTGTGTATGTGTATTACGGGGATAATCTAATTTTTGTTACCATATTTCCCATCTTCTTATCATTCATTTTCTTATTTAATTTTTAGTATTCCTCTTGTCTATCACATTCATCTTCTTATCTTTTACTATTCTAGAAGTTTAAGATTTTATTCATATGCCTGATCTAGCATATTTCTTAATCTACATTCAAATTCTCTTTTCAAATACCTAGTGCCTAAATATCATCATGTAAAATGATCCATTTTTGTGTTTGAAATATTAATAATCATCTTTTCAATTAAGCTCAAGCACTTGCATCAGATTCTAACACCTTAAAGTATCTTATTAAATAATTGAGTAAACGACAAAAAATGGTCCCAAAATTTTGTAAATGCCCATTTTAGTCCTTTATTTTCTCATTTTTTCAAGCTCGTTCAACTCGCCAAATTTGAACCACTTTGGTTTTACCATTAACTCTATAGTTTCTTTGAGTAGAGTCTTCATCAGCTTTTCATGAGTGCATTGTGCTTCTTAGTTTGAGCTTGATGTTAGGTAGTGGGATTAATCTTAAAAACTATTTTTTTTTCTTGATGTTAGGTAGTGGGATTAATCTTAAAAACTACTTTTTTTTTTTTATTGAAAATTTGCATACATACATCCCAATTCTCATGTATTATCATATCTAACATCCAAAATTGATATTTACACATATAAGACCCTGGTGTCCTAACCTATGCATAAAAGGGCCTATTTCACTTTTAAAAAGACAATGATGCTGACATTTATGATACGATGTTAAAGATTTTAGTGCTATACACATAAATATGAATGTTTAGGTGTTAGATATGATAATACATAAGAATTGTGTCGTATATATGTAAGCACCCCTTTTCTTTTAACCTTGCTTTTCACTGGAAACTACAGGTACCTTCATGGAGCTAAGATTGACATGGATAAGCACAACTTCTTCTCAGAGTATCCTCGAAACACACAAACTGGCCTTAGCATAAATTCTTCACCAAACAACTCATGGGGCCTAATATCAAAAGGAAAAGATAGTAATCTTTATGGCCATTATTCATCTCAGCTTCATGAAATGCAAAATCTGAATGAAGAAACAATGAGATCAGTCCCAAAACATCAGGAACAGCTGAATTCCTACTTTAAAAGTGATTTTGGCTTAACCGAACCAGGGAAGCTAGAGTTTCAAGGTCTCGGGACTGCTTTCAATGAGTGGTCTAAGGCGAGGGAATCATGGCTGGACTTGAAAGACGAGCATTCGGAGCGCAATACCTTCTCTGCCACTCAGCTCTCGATGTCGATCCCAATGGCTTCTTCGGACTTCTCCACCACTACTTGTTGTTCGCCAAATGGTGCGTGCTCCATTATATTTAACTAGTTAAATCTACAGCGCCGCCGAACCTATTAAATGTCGAGCGTTTACATACCTAGCACACAATTCTTATCTATTTGTGTATCTCACTCCTAAACTTTTATACACACATAGCACTCAAAAACAACACGATTATCACTCTTAAAAGTAAAATACACATTTTATGGCATATGTTTAAAAAACCAAAGTGCTATATATGTAAATATACAAGTTTAGGTGTGAGATATGTAAATATGTATGAATTATGTGCTATGTAAGTACATTTCCTTTAAAAGTAAGCTCCTAATAATTAGATTGATTAATTTAAAAGTAAGCATCATGCCATTTAACATGTATTTTTTAAGGATAAAAATGGCAAAATAGTCCCCTAACTCTTTGCTGTGGGGTCATTTTAGTCTCAGAGTATATAGAAGAAAAGTCCCCACAATTGGCATTTTTATAGCCTCTGTGTCTAAAATAATGATCCCATGTCAATAATGAAGGGATTATTTGGACACTTTATTCATTTTTTAAGCTATCTCTACTGAGTACCGTGCATGTAAAATTGCTATTTCAAGTAGAAGGCTGCCTTAAGGTAAGACATGACCAACTAAATTTCTAAATGGGTTAAAGACAGATTTTGTCATTTTTACTCAGTTAAGTACGATACTATTGCATGACATGCTCTTGGCATTACCTGTTATTGCATGGACGAAATTTAACATATTAAAATGCCATCTATTTGAGTAAACATTGATGCGCTTTAACAAAAATATGAAAAATAACTCTAAGAAAACACACCCAAAAAGGGACGATTGAGATTTACTTTATTTGTTGAAGTTGCTTTTGCATGGACATATCTTTTTGCTCTGTGAAACCTAACTTTATACATAACGGTTCCATTAAATTTTGCATCCCCACTCTTAACAATCTTCCAATTTTAATTATCTCAAAATCAATAGCTAAGGTGTTGTTTGTGATCACTTTTATTTTTTATTTGTTATTTTGTTTTGTTTTTTAAATGTTTTTGATTAAAATCAAAACATGTTTGATTAAAATCAAAACATGTTTGATTAAAATAGTTATTTTTAAAAAACACTCAAAAAAATTTTTAGATGTTTTGAGGTTTTTTTTAAATACAACTTGATTTTTTTAAAAAAATAAAATTATATAAAAAACCAAACTTCTTTCCAAGAACAAAAAAAAAAAAGAAGGAAAAATGATGCCAAACGGGCCTTAAGATTATCAACTTCATATCCAGCGAAGTAACACCTAGTTGATTTTACATGCACAATTGAAAGATATCAAGCAAGCTTTAAATGAGAAGGGGTTATATTTCTTCTAATCACTGTTCTTCGAGTAACTTATAACTTGGGAGGAAGTTTATGCAATCCCATGATTTTATTTAGAGTTTTGTTCAACACTGCACAACTCTGTCCTGCTGCAGTGTTCTGAATTTGTCCTCTCCATACATATACAACCAGCCGAACAAAATTCTCTTAATTTCTTATTGTATTATTTTTGTTTTTCTTTTGTTTTAGACAGTATTTTCACATCAAACCCATTCTCTGTTTTACTTCATCTCTTGAAGTAAACACATTAAATTTATTTCTTAAAAAAGTAAACTCATAACCATTTGGTGGATTCATTGACAAAGTGAAGTACTGGAATCAATCAGTGTTATAAGCTCCAACTTCTTAATCTTGAAATTTATTTAAGTCAAATGCAATCCCGACATAAACTAAAATCCATAGACTTCAAATTTAGAAGTTAATTTTTTGAATGTGTATCCCTATCCCTTTCTCACAGATCACATATTGGAGTTAGCATATCAGTCCACCCATTGTTTGAATATTTTAAGTCACAGAGTGCCATCTTTCCTCTCTGTGTTAGCAGAATGGAGCTTCTAATCACCATTTAACTATATTAATATAATAGGTAGTGATGAAACCTCCTTTATCTAGCTCTTTAATTGAGATTTGTTTTCGATCCAATTAGGAATAAGGCTCGCATTATATAGTTTTCATATAATCCTAATTTTTATCTTGATTTTCATATAATTAGCTTTCACAATAATTAAGAGCTCTTCTTAAACAAGATGAACATTCCAAAAATTTCTTTCAGAAGAGTCAAGAGTTTATGATCCGTGGACCATTATATATATATATATATAATATATATACATACATAGCTTTCACTGATTCATCAATGATCTTTCCATTTTGTATTATATTTATCCTTTTTTCCTACTGATCATCTTTTCATGCTGCCAATCTTGTCACGTTGCTATGACCTTTGGATTGACTCCTTATTTGAGATTTGGATATACTTTCATTATTGCCTACCTATGAATTTCTTTTTCTAATAATTAGATTCGAAGGAGCAAAGGATTTTTCACATAATTTTTGCCTCTTGATTTCTTGTTTAAGATAAAATCATTGACATGATTAACTTTTAGCTTTGTAGACTAGCTTGAGCTTATTGTACTATAATAAGTTTAATGCTTGAAGTTTGTTGTCAAAATTATATCATTTGACTATGCATGACTTGTGATCAAGTTAAACTTGTTGAGGTGCTTTATTGTGAACGTGCATTCATCCATCTTAAGATTTTTCTTATCTCATTAGATATTTTTATTCACATTCAAAGGCTTTACATATGTGTATAACTGAGCTTTTATCACGAGAATTATGATCTTATTGCACAATTTGATGAAGAAAGCATTCTTTATTAGTGCAAGAAATGACTACCAATTCTTATCCATGTAGGATTTTAGGGTTTATTTGGGGCAGCTGCAACTTATTAGTAAGCTGCTACGCAACAGCTGTAGCAAGAAGCTGTTGCGGATAAGATGATTGTCTGTTTGTTTTTTGTAATTTGAAAACAGTTGTGCTGCGGTTATTTCTGAACAAATGATTATTATATCTCTTAGTTGTAATGTTGTTTATAACATAACTATTCATACCAGTGCATTCCAAATATGAAAGCAAATATCGAGTACAGAACATTACAAAATAAATATTAACACGTCACTAAACAATGAGTTGAATGACTATCAAAAGTAAGAAAAAAACTATTAAAATAATAATTAATAAAATAACAATATCATTGCAGACGATGTATTTTACGAGATAAATCGTTCTCCAGGGAAATTCTCCACGCCCGATCATTCTCACTGATGGAATTTTTCAGTCCATTTGTCCAACTAAAATAATCACAGTTTTTTGTTATTCTTTTCGGACACTTGTAAATCTGTTTCTCATAGTTATGTTGCTACCTCGAAGTAAGTAGGGAACATTATAATCTGCATTAACAGTGAAATCCTCTGGAGGTACCGAAAATCCTCGAGCTCAACTTTTCTGAAGGCTTAAAAACACATACCCTTATATTTAACACCGATGTATCGTGATGTGCACTTACTTGGGAAACAAATAATTTGGTATATCACAATGTATAACTCATTTATCTTTCCAAACTCCAAAAATTTTCTTAATGACACCGCGTAATGAGGAGCGTTTTTTGTTGAACATTTTTCTTCTGTCTCGTGTGATATTGCATTCTCTTTCAAAGTCTATGTGGTATCTTGTATCAATATAGTTTCATATACTCTTGTTGTAACTAATATTCATCACGGACCAAATAATATTTACCTGATGTGAATGATTATTGTTGCAATGGATATTCATCAAGCAAACCTATGGGTAGATGCGAAAAGTTGTATTTTATATTCCGTGTTGTAAATTTAAAAATTTGATTGTCATGTGTACTGCTCTTTCAACCGGTCATGAGAAAGGTGAAACGCACATTGAAGTCATATACAACTATGATATTCTACTTCGATGACCTACAACAGCCGATAAATGCGATCTTCTGATTATTTGAAACGCATGCATCCACGTGTGTTCTATTGATTTATTCAATACAATTCTAAGAAGATAAAGAAGGATAACTTATTTACTATATTTATTTTGAAAATTGAATGTAATAAATAAGAGTAATTACCTGAAAATATAACATACCGCTCATCGTGCGAAATCTCTGCGGGAATTCGTTCAAATGTAGGGTTCGTTGACTTTATAACTTATGATGAAAAACTGATAAGTGCATTCAACTTTACTGAGAAATATCTACAAATTTTTTTAGAAGTGCTAAAATTATTTCATAGCTCATCGCATTGATTCATTCTATAATAATATGTAGATTGTTATTTTAACACCTCTCGTGAAGTTGTCCTGGTGGAGCTATGACGTTCATGCTTTCTATGTAGTTCCTCTAACATATTGGTAATATCGTCTGTCATGCGGAACATACTGCTAAATCTTGTTAGATAACCCCAAGCAAATCCCTAACACATCTATCACCAACGTATGATAATATTTTTTAAGTGGAGCGCTCTATGTACAAGTTATAATACACTTACATCAAATACACTGCAACTGCAACTCTCCTTCTGCGTCTCTCTATTTGCTTCCATGTAATTCGATGTCGAAGTAGCTAATACATAAGTATTAACGAATTATCTACAATAATATAATATTTATGAACAAAACCAGCTTAAAAATAAAATTAGAGAGAAAACAAAAGACATAACGATGAAAAATGAAATTGCAAATCAAATTTAACATCATCCCGATCGAAAAAGAAAAAAATCATAAGCAAATAAAAATGTCTAATGAAGCACGAAATGTAAAATGCCCCACAAGAGTATAAAGAAAATTAGTTGTCCTCAAGTGTCACTTTTCATATGAAAATAAAGTAAATAATGTACTCTAATGTACTCTAAAATCATGAGTGATCGTCATGAAAAACACTCTTTGGGTCAGGTCTTTAAGAAACTTCATTTCGAAGTAGCTAATACATAAGTATTAACGAATTATCTAAAATCATATAATATTTATGAACAAAACCATCTTAAAAATAAAATTAGAGAAAGGAAACAAAAGACATTACGATGAAAAATGAAATTGCAAATCAAATTTAACACCATCCTGATGGAAGAAAGCAAAAAATCATAAGCAAATAAAAATGTCTAATGAAGCAAGAAATGTAAAATGCCCCACAAGAATATAAAGAAAATTAGTTGTCCCTCAAGTGTCACTTTGCATTTGAAAATAAAGTAAATAATGTATTCTAAAATCATGAGTGATCGTCATGAAAAACACTCTTTGGGTCGGGTCTTTAAGAAACTTCATCGAAAACATATACAACAACATGCCCTCATAAATTTTTGAAGTTTCCTACAGAATTCATAATCGGCTGAACATAAGTTGCTTGTGGTAGCCGGGGTAATTGGTGCATTAAGCGATCAACTGTAAAATCTGAGTTCTAATGAAAGCAACTTTATTTTTTTCTTTTTCTCAATCCGGGGACGCTTTAACTGGCTAGTGTACTCAACTTAGTGGAGGTTCGGGCTGGGGTCTTCATTAGAATCACTCGTGTGTTCAACTACCAAATTTTCAGAGATGTCACAAAATCCTGTCTCTTTGGGCATATGCATTATTGCTCATTGCCACAACACTATCAAACATACGATCTAACTTCTCTTCCAGCTCAGGATTGATTCAACTATATTTAAATTTCTTTGCAGCTGATACCACCTACAAATTCATATGATGTGTTGATGGATTTGAAAAAAAATAAAAGTTAACAAAAGCAGTGGACGTTTCAAAATAGCTCGCTGCCAGTTTTATGCCCACTACTCTTCATAAATGTCAATTGTTCGTTTTATGGATCTCAACCAAGCCTGTGTATTCTTGCTTCATTTCTTTCCAAAATTAATAATTTTTTTTTAGATGATCCCATTTGTTTTTTGATTGCATTCTATCGCGCTCTCTATCTTTACTTTCATTGAATTTTTTAGTAATATTTTGCCAACTCTCTTTGTTGAAATAAGTTGTTAGTCTATTTCCCATTCGACCTCCTTGAGGCTAATGCCTCAAAATGTTTTTTTTGTATCATTATGCCACATTGCAGATGAACCGACCTCTTTAATCTTAACCATTGTGTATACTAGCATAAAAATAACTAATCAAGATAAATTATAGGTGCAAAAAATACTACACAAATAAGAAAAAGAAATGTCACAAATCATTAGCAATGCCTTTTCACACCAACATATTAAGAGCACCACTCCATCATCTCTACACAATCACACATGAAAACACCAACACATCCACAACAACACTACAATCACTTCCACACAACACATCCAAAACGCTATTACCACCAACTCCACACAACAAGACCTCTACAACACCAACACGTCCACAACACTAATACCACCAATTCCACACAACAAAACCTTCACACCTACCTCCTCTATATCTGCCAACACATACATCAACACAAACACAACCACACACCAACACATCCATCATCACTAACACATCCACACACACGTCAACCACCACCACCTCACCCACACACAAACATATTCACCAATACATGCATATCCACATAACAACCACCCTACACCACCACCTCCACCTTCAAATCCACATTCACACACCAATCGCCCTACAACACCATCTCTACATCCTTCAACACAAACACATCCACCTCCACATCCACCACATCAACACCACAATCCAACATCAACCAAAGGTACAATGATTGAGCTAATAGAAAACTATAATCCACCATCAACCAAAAGACACCTCTTTGCACGTATTTTCACTCTAAATCAAGAACATAAAAGAGAACATAAAATCGAAATCCAACATTAACAAAAAACCAACACTGATTTCCAAGTCGTTGCACGTGAGATTCCAAAAAATTCCAAAATTCAACTTCAACCGAAACCAACGAAGCATAAGTATTTATAAAATTAAAAATCACAATTTTCGAGCACAGAGAACCCCAAGGTAGGTAATGCTCAACACTAAGAGGAATTACTACACAAAGGAACTTACCATTTCTTAGGCACAAAGGCATTAGCAAAATCAAAAGCCACACCATAATGAGGGTAATTATTAATTAGCACGAAGAAAAACTACACCCAGAGGAACCACCGCAAAGAGGAAATCACAAAAAACTTGGGCGCATACACATTTTCAAATAAAAAATAAGAACATTAAACATTTTCAAAATAAAAAATAAGACCATATTTAAGGTAAAGATTACCCAACGTGAATAGGAACCACAACTCAAATGAACTTCAATAAAAAATTACCGCACGATGAAGAACTGTCACACACTAATCAAAAGGTCCAAACAAAGCCGCATAGCAGAGAGAGAAGGAGAGAGAGAGGAGAACTCACCACAACAATTAATCCAGAGGTTTAGGGTTTAGGGTTTAGCTGCATAGCAGAGAGAGAAGAAGGAGAGGGAGAGGAGAACTCACCACAACAATTAATCCAGAGGTTTAGGGTTTAGGGTTTAGCTGCATAGCAGAGAGAGAAGAAGGAGAGGGAGAGGAGAACTCACCGCAACGATTAATCCAGAGAAATGAGAGAGAGAGAGAGAGAGGCACAACACTATTCGTGAGATCATGAGAGATTGAGAAAGAGGCACAATACTATTCGTGAGATCGCGAGAGATTGAGAAAGAGGGGTGTTAGGGCAAATATCGCGAGAGAAGCAGCCCGGAGAGGATTGCAGGCGTTAGGGCAAGATAAGAGAGAGAAAGGATTGTGGGAGAGGAGAGGAGCAGCCCCGTCACTTGTATGAGAAGAAACACGGGCCGCATTTCCTTCGGCTTGTTCCTATAAGCAACCGCATCGAAGAATCCACACAAGAGAGATTCACGTTGCTTAGCCGCGACGCCCCCCTAAATGCTGCCCCAAACGGGCTGTTAGTTTTCTTGTCACATAGTAATCGGCTGCTTCAAGAGAAAGAGATGCAGTTATCGATTTGTATTGTCAAATACTTCAAATTATTAGCATTTTATTTTTCGTTTTCTATTTTTTATCAAGCCATTGCTCCTCGTTTTCTCATTAGAATTCAAAACTGCCCTGATATCAGTTTTTGGGTAAAGCTTGCTATTGAGAGCAATGGTAAAAATGAAAATAAGAAGAATGACCTTATGAAAACACAAAAAAATTAAGAGCAAGAGATTTGCTTCTGTGAAATGTGCTTTAAGCCCCGCCCCCTCTTGCTCAGTACCATATATTTTTAGAATAGACCTGCAGAAATCTGCTGAGATACTTATGATTTGATTTCAATGAGGGGATTTAAGGAGAGATTTTAAAGAAGCAAAACTCCATTTTTAAATCTCTTTAAGACGGGAGAAAAGAAAAGAAGCTTGAATTTGCTTTGTCTGCAAACTCAACTTTGTCTGATCCAACTCAGACTTTGCATGTATAGAACCTTGTTGTAGGAAATGATGCACACCCTTTTATGATCATTGTGGAATTTTGTAATCAACGTTGGTGTGTTACATATTGGTGCATTTTCATACATACCACCCAAGTTCTATGCATTTACTTATCTAACACCAAAACTTCGCTCTTTTTTTTTTTTTAACATTTATACCGCTCAGATTTGTTTCATATCACATAAAAAATACTACTATTTTAATTAAAAAAAAAGTGAAATACACCTTTCCCTGCATTGGTGGTATGTATGTAAGAATTGAAGTTTAGGTGCTAGATATGTAAATACATAAGAATTGAGCGGTATGCATGTAAATCTTCCAATTATATTTCACCAAATCTCAAATTTAATAATTTTTTATTATTTTTCAAAAAGACTTCATTCATCCAAACAAAGCTGTCTGAAAGTGAAATCAATGAAGTTTAACTCTAGTTATTTTTTGACTGCATTATATTTAAATGAAATTTTCTCACATCAATATGATTATTTTGATTTCTTTCTTGCAATCAAACTACATTATTTGCTGACCTTATTATATTTCATAATATTGCAGATGATTGAAGAGAAATTTTAGCTCAGTCCTGTCTTTGCTCTGCCTCTATTTGGCAGACAATTTTGTGCTGTGTGATTTAGTAACTAAGCTGGGCATTTAACTCCTGCGCTACAATCTCTCTCAACTATGGTTTGTACCTGTAACTTTATATTAGAACTGTATTTCTCCAACCATGTTTTTATTTATAACGCCCTTCAAGAATGAAATTTTCTTTCAAACCCCTTAAAAGGTCCGAACTATAAATAATATTTTTATGCTTCTTTAAATTCCCATTTGCTGCTTAATTTAATCATAAATGTTGTTTTAGCAGCTTTAAGGGAACTAATTATGGAGTTAACACAAAGAAAAGTATAAAGCTTGCTTGCCTTAATCTCAGCTTATATAATCTGATAATTTCACTCCACTCGTAGGGTCTGTAAATTTTTTAAAAAAATGGTTCGGAATGGTAATTTGATGATCTTTGATTGCCTTTCATGCAAAATTTGTTTTTGATGGTGGTTTTGTGAAGCAGCTTATCCTGAAACGCACAAGCTGCCCCAAACGGACCCTTAATCTCTTTTTTCATGTTTGGTTTGAAACTAATGAAGATGCGTACACTTGTTTTGTTTAAATAAATTATTTAAATATCATGAAAAAGTTGGGGTTGAATGCAATTTGAGCGCGTGGTGAAGCTATGTTCGGAGTCTACTCATATGCGGACACGTGGCTTCAAAGAAACACGCGTTTTTCTGTGATCCTGCCCGGTAACATAGGAGTATATTCCTTATGTGTTATTCCATGTTATTCAGGTGTTATTGTAGTAGTGATATTGATGTGTTATTGTGTTATTATAATATCAAGAATATTTTCAGAACATATTAACATTTAAATACTATCACAATAACACCTAAATAATGTGAAATAATATAAATAAAATATTCCCCGTGCTAAAATAAATATTTTTTTTATTTGCACCTTCCGAACGTAACGCTATATTAGGAATCCTAATGTAATATTTTTCACGGCAACATTCGGATGCATGCCATACCACCCATTTGATGGCATAAATATCCACCCAAATCTTATATTTATATTTATATCACCCATCTCGCATCAAAAATATCACTAAATTAACTTTAAAAAAAAGTGAAATAAATATTTTCATGCATAGGCACGGGGGCATATATGTAAAAAAATTAAAAATTCAGATAATGAATAAGATGATGGAAAACTCTCAATAAATCAATGCTTCCTGGTTACATCAGCTCTTTAAAATTAAATAACTTAAGAAAGAGAAAGGGAAGGAATACATGAGTCATAATACATAAAACATAAATATAGTTACTGAATCGTTCTGGATACAATCAATCAATGAAAAATTAGAGCTAACATCTGAAATACACCAACGGCACCCCTCAAGCTTGAACTTTATTTCTTATCACATCAAAAATTTAGGTGTTAGATGTGTAAAGATGTAAATACATAATAATTGAGTGGTATGGATGTGAATCTTCTTGAGCGCCATGGAACCAGCAGTTAAAGTATGGATATGATCAGTGAGGGGAAAAAAATAAAATTTTGGTTCAGAAGATGAACAAAATGTGTCATATGTTGCCATGTCAATGGATGTTCAGTTCCATCACTTCCAAAAGCCGCTCCTTCTCCTTTGTTAATTCATCATTTTGTTTCTGCAGCTCTTCAATTTGTTTGGTTTGCTCTGAATCTTTCCTGAAATTAATGAAGCTGGCATTTATTCACATTAACCAAAATATATACATATATATATATTAAATATATGTGATAATGTACAGCTTTTATTTAGAATTATGCTATTTTGCATATGTAAGTTTTCCATAAATACAATCTGAGACATTAGTGAAAAAGAGACATTCACATGCATATCCCCCAATTCTTATGTATTTGCAAATCAACACTTTAAATTTTTTCTTTTACATTTCTACTCGGGTAGAACCAGATCTATCTTTTAGGGTCGGCAAAATCACCATATATATATATATATATATATATA